TTGTTTCTGGTTTGATGTACAATGCCGTCCAGATAGCAATAACCTACTTTACTTGGTGAAAGACCACCACAATCTCACTTTACGTACAACAGAGAATGATCACCTCGCCCTTATAACAAGCATGTATGTATGATAACGGCCGCCGTAGCTCAAGAGGATACCAAGCTTATCGATAAGGGCGGGAAGGGGAATTGCGGAGAAAGAATCAATAATCATCGATGGGAATCCGGACTACTTGGCCTTTCGGCTTTCCTTCGCCAATCCCTCCGCCGCTCCCCTCTCCTCCTCTTGCTTTCCTCGGCCTCCATACGAGAGCTTTGAGCTCCATTGATTGTCGCTCCCTATCTCTACGTTGAATTGCACCCTGTCCTTCCTTTCATTCTCTTCTACCCTCCCCCTTATTCATGCCTTGATCGGTTGAATCGTTATACACTTCGCGACACGCATTCGTGATGAATGGCTTCGCATCACACGGCCTCGATGAGGATGCATTCGGGGAAAAGTCTGGGCTGCAGGGCGGCCTGAAGACATTTGATGCTTTTCGTATGTTGTGCTCCGTATTTTATGGATTCATTTGATGTCCACAACCCTACATTCACTATGGTCCAAGCCTTGTGGTAAACAGCCGCGCATGGATATACTGCCAGTCCATTCCAGCTACACCCCGAACTAACATCGCATTGTTCACCCAGCCAAGACAAAACCCTCATATACTGCCCCATCCCGCCGTGGAGGACAATGGACCGTCCTCATTCTCGTCATCTGCACAGTCTTCACCTTCTCAGAATTCCGCACCTGGCTCCACGGCTCCGAGAACCACCACTTCAGCGTCGAAAAGGGAGTCGGCCATGACCTGCAACTGAACCTTGACCTCGTTGTTCGCATGCCCTGCGACACCCTCGACGTCAACATTCAAGATGCCTCCGGCGACCGCATTCTCGCCGGCGACCTGCTCCAACGCGAACGCACCAGCTGGAAGCTCTGGATGGACAAGCGCAACCGCGAAACCTCCGGCGGCGTCCACGAATACCAAACCCTCAGCCAAGAAGACACGGACCGGATTTCTGCGCGCGAAGCCGATGCACATGTCCACCATGTCCTCGGCGAAGTGAGGAAGAACCCGCGCCGGAAGTTTGCCAAGGGACCCAGACTGAGGCGCGGCGATACAGTCGACTCATGTCGCATCTACGGCAGCTTGGAGGGCAACAAGGTCCAAGGTGACTTCCACATTACGGCTCGTGGGCATGGATATAGGAACTTTGGAGAACATTTGGACCATGGAGGTACGTTGTCACCCTTTCCGTCTCCCACCCACAGATTCCAGAAACAAGCGCAGTCAACTAACAAAATCCATCACCAGTCTTCAACTTCTCCCACATGGTCACCGAACTCTCCTTCGGCCCCCACTACCCTACTCTCCTCAACCCGCTCGATAAAACCATCGCCACCACCGAAACCCACTACTACAAGTACCAATACTTCCTCTCCGTCGTCCCCACCCTCTACTCCAAGGGCGCCAGCGCCCTCGACACCTACACCAACCACCCGGATCTCATCGCCACCAACCGGAACAGGAACCTCGTCTTCACGAACCAATACGCTGCCACCACCCAAGCCACCGAGCTGCCTGAGAACCCTTACTTCATCCCCGGTATCTTCTTCAAGTACAACATCGAGCCGATCCTGTTGATGATCAGCGAGGAGCGGACGAGCTTCCTCTCGCTGCTGATCAGACTCGTTAATACCGTCTCGGGCGTCATGGTCACGGGCGGTTGGGTGTATCAGATCTCCGGGTGGGTTGGAGAACTGGTGAACCGGAAACGCGGCAGAGGGAAGTCGGAGGGTGTGCTTACGGGGAAGCACTATGCGGAGGATTAGATCATCCTCGTTGTCATTATTGTTATTAGCATTATCATCTTCTGTCTATGCCTATGTTCTTGTCTCGGGTGTACATCTCTTGTGACTATACAGGGGAAATCGAGTAGTTAGATCAGAGATATGTGCTCTGCGTTGCATTTTGTATACTCTTGTTTAGCATCTGGGTCTTGAATTCTGGAATCTAGTATCCCCAAAGTATTACCTGTTCATGTGGTTTCTTGCGCACTTGCACAAGTATCCTAAACCTCAGCCACATCAGTACACCCGGTGCATGTCCATCCCGGCATATTATGACAGAACTAACAAAGAAACTAAAGTGGATCCACCTGTGTTCAAAGCATAAGTCCATGCGACCCTATCCACGCAACCCACGGTATCATAACCATTCAATATACTAATAGAAACTAAAACAGAACGGAAAGAACTTAAATCTGGAATATCTCTCCCATCCCCACACCCGCCCCCTCAGCCCCAGCCCTACTATCCACTAAATCCAACCGCCAGCCATGCCAATCCTTAAGCTTCCTCTTGATCTCGCGCACCCATTCCACCCTCTTCCGTGCCTCCTCTTCAGCCTGCGCGCGCGCAAACTCTGCCTCATCGAACTCATCATCGAAGTTCTCCTCAGAAAGGAGCTCGAGACTGCCCCGTGCTGCGGGCGGATGGTGCTGCTGGTTTGAAGAAGCGCGGCCGCGGTTACCGCCGCCGCCGCCGCTGCCGTAGAAGGTGTTTCCGCCGGTGAAAGCGGCAATTCCGGAGGACAGGACGGTCGAGAAGGAGGAATGCTGCTGCTGGGACTTGTGGTTGTTGGCAGCCATGCTGCGACGACGGGCATGGTCGGGAGTTCCGCCGATGAGGTCGACGTCGTCGAAGGTGTTTGCTGCTGCTGCTGCGGAGGCAGATGTTGAGGATGTGGGCGGGAAGGCGTCCGGGGAGTGGAGGTGCTGGGCATGATCTGCGGCGAGTTCCTCGCGACGTTCTTTCCAGACGCCGCGGCGGAGGTCGAAGACTTCGCCTTCGAGATCGCGGATGCGGCGGTGCAGACGGGAGCGTTCTTCGTCTTCGAGTTCGTCGAGGGCGTCGTCGTCGGCACCGGCGCCGCCGTCCGTGGCGTGTCGTTTACGGAGGGATTCTTGTTCTTCTTTGAGGCGGAGGTTCTCGTTCTCTACGTCTGCGAGTCTCTTGCGGAGGACCGCGGCTTCTTTTTCGATCTTCTCGGTCTCGCGTAGACGGGTTTGGTGGCGGGCTTCGGATTCCTTGTGCAGGTTGCCCATGGCTTCGAGTTTCTTTTCTAGGGTCTCGGCTTTCTTGTCCGATGCGGTCTTCTCCTGTTTGAGCTCTTCGAGCTCCCGCTGGAGGTTCTTAATTAGCGTCTCTGTGGAGGTCTTGTCCACGCCCTCTTTGACGGCCTTTTCTGAGGCGCGGGTCAGCGCGCTCTTGGTATCAGTAAGCTCGCGCTGGGCCTTCTCGAGCGCAGATTCACTGCCGGATAGCTTCTCCTCGAGCGCTGCTATTTGGGTCTCATGTGCGCTGCTCGATGCAAGCTGTGCGCGCAGATTCGAAATCTCCAATTCCATCGCTTCGATCGTCGCTGACTTGGACTCCAATTGCTGCATCAGGTCCGCCGGCGAAGACTCCGATGGGCCAGGCACGGAGACGCTCGCGGTGCTTCGATGCGTGCGGGTTTGCAGGTGCGAATTTTGTCTCTGGAGGGATGCGATTTCTGCTTTCTACATACCCAGTAGACCATTAGTCTTGAAGTCCCCGATAGAGCCCTTTCAGGATCGTATGAAGGTGAAAAGGTCAACTCACCAACTCCTCAATCTCCCCCACCTTCGCCTCCGCATCCTGCAACTTCACCTTCAACTCCGCAACATCCACACTGGCTTCCCGGAGATCCTCCAACTGCTCCTCCGTCTTCTTCCACCGTCCCTTACCCTCCTCCAGCTCCTTTTCTAGCCGCTTATTGTCCTTCTCCAGCTCCTCAATCCGCGTCGACTGCTTCCGATACACTTCCTGCACTGCCTCACCATCCGCGCTCAGCGGCGGCAACGAAGGCGACTTCAGCATCGCACTCGCCGCCGGCGACGGCGACCCACTGCTTCCCTGCGACACGGATCCCTTCCGGAACGATGATGACCGCATCTTCGACTGGATGGATAGAGAGGGTTGTCGACCGTGTGTGGACTGTCTTCCGGATGACTCGGGCTTCATGGCGGGTTGTGCGGGGGTTTCGGGACCAGGCGAGGTGGGTGCGTCGGGCATGGGCTCGGTCTCTTCTTCTGCGGGGGATTCGACTTCTTTCTTCTCAACCTGAGGTTGTTCTTGTTCCTTATCTTCGTCCTTCTCCGCTTTCTCGTCCGATGTGGTAGTTTCGGCTTGAGCTTCTGTCTTCGTTTCTGGCTCTGTCGCCTTCTCTGTCTCTGTCTGTGTCTCCTCTACCTCCGGCACAGCGCTACTTCCTTCCTCTCTTCCCTCCTTTTCTGTAACCGGTGCAGGTGCAGGTTCCGGGGACGACGTCGCGGGCGCATCTTCCTTGGCCGGTTCTGATGGCTCAGCAGCAGCAGCAGCAGCAGCAGCAGCGGGGGTAGTATCTTTGGAGGTATCAACGCTGGCGGCCTTCTTATTTGCTTTCTTTTTCTGTTTCTGGAGCTGGGCTACCTATTATTCACCGCATTAGTATGTTTAGATTTTGGCGCTGCGCATGAATGTATCGTTCCAACAGACACGCAGAGAACAGATACATAGGTCGGGGTAGGTAGGTAGCTAGTGTGCATTCATAGGGGAGATGAGATGCGTACCCTTTTCTTCGCGGCAGCTAGCTTCTCAGCTTTGATGCGCTCTTCGTCATCCGCCATTGTGTGAGAATTGCGGGAATGCGCGTGCGGGGGAGTAGAATGGGTTGCGTTTGCTGTGGGGGTGGATTGTTGATGATGATAGATGGTCTACTTGGTGATAGTCGGATCGGAGGACAGCTTTGGCCGCGGTGCACGGACCAATCGGGGAGTTCCAAGTTGCTCGTCAATGATACAGTACTGCACTGTTTTTTAACTATCAAATAGCTGGTCTGATCTATAAATAGCATTTTCTTCTGTCTAACCGTCTACGTGATAAAGTCACAGAGTCAAAAATATCAATTTGTAATAAGTACAGGAAGGAAACAGAAGAATGACAACGCCCGCCGTTGTGGAACCTGCCCTTGAGCGCCGCATCGGATTGCCGTGACGCAGCACGTCGTTCGTCATCATCATCATTAGACCAACAGCCGTTCAATTACAATTAGGGGCATTCCTTCCCTTCCTTCCGGTTACCGAGTATAACGCCCCTAGCCGGTGCAAATGCAGGTTGAATGCAGCAGACAAGAAAACAATTACGCCGAGCAGTCGAACCAAACGAGAATAGGCAGCTGAACAAAACGGCCAAATGGCAAACGAGAAGGGCCGGGTTGGTTGAAAGGTGAAAATAAACAGTCAAGATAGAAGGGAAGGGAGGATTAGACCTCCATCGAGTCAGCGATTTCCTCGCTCATGGCCCGAACGGTGCCCTTGCTGCCCGATCGGGACCGGAACTCCTCATCGCTGAGCAGGTAGTGGTCGTATTCGTCCACGACTGGACGCGTGGGCTTCGACCCACTGGCTTCCTCGTCGCTTTCGCTCTCGAGTTCAACGCCCTCACCCAGCCAGTAGCGAGCCCGCTTGCTCGAGGCAAGTTCCGGTGTCAGGTATCCGTCGTCATACGTTCTCTTCGTCGTCGGCGTGGCAAGTCCCTCGCTGGGCGTGTGGCTGAGAATAGGGATCGCTCGTAGATACAGATAACAGACGCGTTTCCGTAGTCGGTTAAAAAAGAAGTAATGAAGACTCCAAATTGCTCCATCGTCCGCATCCGACGGATCCTCATCCGGCGAAAACGAATAGAGGGAGCACTCCTTGAGAGACATATGTTCATCGATAACTCTCCACATTCTCGGCCCCCACGTAGAAGACGCGCCCGCATTGTAGGAACCCGAGATCGTCACGGGAGATGGAGGTGTCAGATCGATTGCCTCACGTGGCCGAAGGTTGAACAGTGTCGAATCGATCGTGTTCATAACTCGCTTCAGATTCCGTTCACGATGGAAGTCCGATGGGCGCAGCACATGGGAGAAGTCATAATCCGGATGACTGGCATTTAATGTCGCGATCAAATAGGCAAATGTTCGTCGACTGGAATGGTCGCTCAGGGGACCGAACGGACTCGACCGAGATAGATTGAGCGAGGCAGCCGCGTCCGATGCGTTGGGAGGTGACAGCGAAGCTGACAGGCGGAGAACCGATTCATATTGGGACTCAAGCGACTGCTCAATGTTCTTGTACAGTTTCCGATCGGCTCGAGCAGCCTTTGTGGTGTACAGATCGCATCCTCCGACAATGTGGCAATCGGCAGTGTCGAAATTGAGAGAACTCGTCACGTCTTCGAATTCGGGCAATGGCAGAAACTGAAAGGGAAAGACACGGGTAAGCATCAGGCCACTCTATCCGAGGCTGCAGCGGCGCAAAAGGGCTAGGATCCATACCTTCATCTTCAGCCAGAGTTGCGGTGTAGAAGTCGCTGATTACGATAAGGAAGCGCTTTACAGATAAGCGGAGAACACCGTGGTCAGTGATCAAGACACAAGGTGATGCGACAAGCAGATGAGAGCAATTGTCGCAGCAGTTGGGTTCAAATAAACCGGGGCCGTTGTCTCCTGAGACGTCACGAATCCGGCGATAAGAGTGAATGAGCTGGCGGGTGGAACCGTTGCTACGGTGGCAGCACAGGAACGAAGAATGGGTGAGTTATTAGGTGAGTATGGAGAGCCAAGTCGC